AGGACATGGCTAGCACTGAAATAAATTCAGTAGCTGCCAAGGTCTAGCCAACAGTTGTAGCTAACTCTATATTTATGAGTATATGTGATTTTCCAGCCCCCTAAAGAAATTATTATTATATCCAAAAGGGGACCAAATGGAGGGTTCCTTTATAAATGTAAATTTCCCTTACAAAAGGGTAACTTTTACTCTGTTTTTAGAGCTTCTCCTGTGTCTGCTGTTTCCCAAAAATAATGGAGCTTAAAATAATCCTAATGTCAAAAAGCATATTTTGAGGTAGCATCCTTTTTTTTTTAATTAAAATTTTTTTATTGAAGTGTAGTCGATTTACAATGTTAGTTTCAGGTGTACAGCAAAGCCATTCAGTTATACATACACATATTTTTTTTCAGATTCTTTTCCATTATAGCTCTTTGTAAGAAACTGAGTATTGTTCTCTGTGCTATGCAGTAGGTCCGTGTTGTTTATCTATCTTATATATATTAGTGTGTGTCTATTAATCCCAGACTCCTAATCTATCCCTCCCTGGGGTGGCGTATTCTGCTCCCCTTCATTATCAAGAGGGACAGTCGTACACCAAGAGAGGGCACGAGGGGTACTCAGGAAGAGCGATACAAAGATCTGGAAACACTCATCTTGTCCAGAGCTTGTTTTTTAAGTCTGTGTATTTCTGAGCCTATGTTTGGTTTTACCTTTTGCTTTTGTTTCTGAGAAAACAGATGTACAAAGCATCGGCATGGTCGCAGGAGCGGTGACAGGGATGGTGGCAGGAGCCCTGCTGATTTTCCTCCTGGTGTGGCTGCTAATCCGAAGGAAAGACAAAGAGAGATACGAGGAAGAAGAGAGACCGAACGAAATCCGGTGAGCCTCCCTCCAACCGCTCTCCTCGACTAGGCTGCCTTTGCAGGGCCAGCTCCACAATGGCCAGCCGACGAAAATGCCCACCTCCTCTTAACCATGAATCCGTTAAAAGGATGATTCTGGTGTAAGGAGTTCCAGCCTAGGACAGGCAGTCTGGTTTACCTTGACTTCACTGTGAAACCATCCACAGCAGACTTAAAAGATAAGCTTCACGTTACTTCTGATTCACCTCCACTTACAAAGGGCGCACAGGAAAGACCGGCCTAGCCGATGGGCCACGAGAGGGTTTATGTAGACAGACTCCAGACCTAGGCGAGGGCCCTTTCTCCTGCTGGGCCAACAAAACACACACTGGCTGACCGACCGCGAGGGCCCAGGAAATGGGGACGTTCCTATTTCCCTCAGGGGCTTTCCTCCAATGCTGATTCCAGCCCTCCAGCTTGATGAGTGTACTGGGCCACCTCAGAAGGCAGCAGCCATGGTGGAAGTGCTCCAAATCCTGTAGTACTAACATTTATCTTTGCTGTCTTTTCTCTTCAGAGAAGATGCTGAAGCCCCGAAAGCCCGCCTCGTGAAACCGCGCTCCTCTTCCTCGGGCTCTGGGAGCTCCCGCTCGGGCTCGGCCTCCACTCGCTCCACGGCCAACAGTGCCTCACGCAGCCAGCGGACCCTGTCCACCGAGGCAGCGGCCCGACCCGGGCTGGCCACCCACGCGTACAGCCTAGTGGGGCCGGGGGTGAGAGGTTCCGAACCAAAGAAAGTCCACCAGGCTACCCTGACCAAAGCAGAGACCACACCCAGCACGACCCCCGGCCAGAGCAGAGCCTTCCAAACTGTCTGAGTTCGAGTGGACTGGACACCGTGCTTTCCCAGGAGTCAGGATCTTAGGACTCTTCTAGTCCTGGAAGCTCATCACCAGCCACACAACCCCCTCGAACCAAATGAGAGGTCACTGAAGGAGCCGCGACCACTGCACGGAACAGATTCAGATGAGCACGTTCCTCATGGGACACCAAACAAGGAGAAGGATGAGCTGATCATCTCCAAAAGGGCATTTCACTATGCCTTTGGACCAGAGTGGGGGGGAAGGTGGGGGCCTAAACTGTGTATCTGTGGACCACGACCTGCGGTGAGAAAGGCTGGTGTAAGGGGAAGAGAACACACTTAGAACTTCTCACTTGGGGTGTTTTGTATCAGCACTTTGATTCACCATTGTCAAGAAGCAATGAGGTGTTGTTCATTAATTTTCTATGCATTTCTTCAAGCCAGTTGGATTACTGTGATTACTCAGAGTCAAGCAGAACACACAGCCTTATATTACACCTGTCTGCACCATGAGAAACTCCAAAAAAGGAAACAAGTCTTTTCTATCCTGACTTCATTCACCGTAAAGTTTGGATATTAATTTCAAGAGGAGTTGAAATAGTGGGAGATGGAGAAGAATCATTTTGTTTTTCCCACTCTATCCACTACTTATCTTATTATATTGAACCATAAAGGAACTAAAAATGGAGTCCAAAATGTGTGACAAAGGACTGAAAAACTTTCCATCTTAATGACATTCAGAGGGTCAATGACAAATATCAGAAATAAATGCTGGAATAATTGTGGATTGTCTCTCAAATGGATGTCTCTAAGGACTTCCCTGCTGGATCTCTCTGGAGCAAGAAAAGTCACTTAACAATGTCTTTAGAAAGAAGTCTTCTAGAGAAAAGAGACCTTTTAAGGATGCTGAAAGATCACCTGACGTAACCATCACAGCTCCTCTTTCTGAGAACGAATGCAATCAGAATGGCAAGACTGACTAAAGAGGGAGATCAGATCAATTTTCTCTGAATATATCAAGGAGTGACATCAGAGGTTCAGTTCTGCACCAAACTTGGAGCTTCCTCCATTTCTTTCATTTTAGGGGAGGGATGTGAATCTGGGACTTCTGCTGATTCTAGGCCTTACGTTATCAAAAAGATCAGGGATCGCCAATATTATCCTGATGGCACTGCCACAGTCATTCCCTCCTGAGATGCTGAGACAGCGAGAAAGTCAGTATTTTCCCAGTTTAGTCTCTAAGGAAGCCTAGCTCTGGGCTGGAAGGAAAGGGAATTCACATTTAGGGACGAGATGAGGTAACTAGTGGGTGGCAGGAGAGATCCGGGTTAGTGCTTGTTGATATTGTTGCCATGTTGGAAAGAATTAGCAGAAATGATTCACCAGGAGAGCTCTCAGAAGAGCTGACTCATGGGAGAAGGTGTCTGAGAAATAAAAAGAAAGCAGCCTCCAATACAATAACTTGCCTTTCTAATAGTTTTGACTATTGTGCTAGTCAAATTCATCTTATGTCAAGAATGCCAAACCTGAAATAGCCCTTCAAGGACCCTAAACAAATGTCAAGAGATCACCACTGGTAGAGCAAAATGTTTATTATTATTTAAAGGGAAGCAGGCTATAGGAAAGAAAAAGTAGTGCTGAATATGGTGATGAAAGCCGTTTCTATAAAATGGTTATTAGGTGCTCAAAGAGAAAATGCTGATCTGGGATTTTGTCCCATTTCTCTGGTTTCCATGTCTACATCTAGTTCTCACATAGTGTAAATGCATTTCCTTCCAAAGTCCTTTAAGAAATACGGATTTATCCTTGAGTGAAAGTTTCAGCTTGAGCTTTATCTTCCTCTAAAAAAAAAAGCTGGAAAGAGACATGGAGGCAGTATTGTAAAGAACGTCTGCCATTAGTTTAAGAGGGCTGGCGTATTTGGAATGCTTCTTACGCTAACACTGCCTCACTCTAAGATATCAACTCCTTACTTACTCCACTTTTTTATTCTTCTGGCAGTGTGGTATCCAGGCAACATACCACTTCTGCTATGTTATTCTGAGAATTCTCATTCCTAGAGTACCTGAGCCGAACAAGTATGCTATGCAGGCTGCAGCTGTACCACCACTAGCAATTTGCTCTCAATATTTATTACCTTTGAACCTAAGGTTTCCTGCCTATGCCTCTGAAAGCAGGAGTTAGTCCTCTTTGCATGAAAAGGTATAGGTTATTTAAACGTGTTAGTTATTAGAAGACCAAAATAACAGTTGAATATTCAGATTATTTTGAAAATCTGTTCACTCTGGAAATCTACAAAAATGTCACAAAACAAATCAGTACCTGAAATCTTAGAAATTCTAGAAACTGAAGATCTTGAGGAGATAAGGTGCTGAAGTCTTAGCAATGACAGTGTGTCAAACTTTCAGATTCAGATAAGACAGGCTCCCGGCTTAAGATAAAGTGTAAGCCATTACAGGTTTCAAACCACATTCCATTAACTTTGCAAGTCAAATAAATTCGACTCTTTAATATAAAACAAACAAGGATAAAATAAATGGTAGAAGAGAAAAAGTATTTTTAGGAAGAAGACAGAGATGGAATGATGGGGTGTTTAGACAGTAACTATTTTAATAAAATGCATACACTAAACTTAAACTGTCAAATAACCAAGTTGATGCCTCTGTTGTTACACTGTATAAAAACAATCTCAGAATTGCCATTGCAAAGACATATATAATTTTGCTTCATTTCTGGTGTTGTTTATATTTCAACTTTAATTTCTAAGTTGCCTTATAATTGGGATTCTGATAACAAAAATCAAATATTTATTACAGATGCATCTGTGTCAGCAACTTAAAAATAAATAAGTAAAGGTGATATGTAGGAGAGGCTGAAGCTTATATAACCTGCATTGGAAATTTGTTTATTAGCTTGCTGACAACTGAAGAACAGAAGAACTCAGACTGAATATGCGCTATTATTTACTGACTTCGGTCACAAATATACTGAGTACTTTTTTCTCACAAGACAATATACTAAGTCATGCTGGACATACCAAGTGCGGACAAAGTTCACGACAGAGTTTCTGCCCTTAAGGACTTTATCAAAATAACATTTACCAAGCAAGTATTTTATGTCAAGGCGAAGTGCCTACCAAAAAGTACACATTAAGGGGGTCAAGGAAATCTAAAAGGTAAACACTATGAGATTCAAATAAATCTGAAGACATTTCAGAATTAAATGAGGTAATAAATGCAAAGAAATCAGAACAGTGCTTGACATGTAACAATCACAAGTTATGATGGTAATCATAACCCTATTCTCTAGTCAGAAACCTAGGCCTCAGACTACTCCACTGCAGTCCCAGGCACCCCAACTTGAAACTCTGTACACTTAAAGTGGAGACATTTATCATAATCTGAACCCCAAATATATAAACTCTGACTCATCCTAGTTAATAAGAACATAGTCCAAGTTTTAGAATGCATTTTGAAAGAGATCAGAAACAAAGGTTATCTGTTCAGCTTTCTCTAATCACCATTAGGTGAGAGACCCCAAACCAGTGGATTTGGGCCCGTTCTATTTTCCACTGGTTCAATGGTTTAAATGTCGGTAGTTCAGAGCTTAGTTACAAAAGCTGCAAAATGCAGGGTGTAGTTCAGAGATTGTACTCGATAAACTGCGTGCGGGGAGGAAGACTGCAGATACTAAAGAAAACGGAAAGAAACCTCTGGCGGCACACATCTTCCTCTTCCCGCAGTTCGAGATACACGTGTTGCCAGAAAGGAAATTACTAATAAACAAGACCAAAGCAAATGGAATCAAGAGCTAAAGGTTCCATTGTAGCTCAGGCAGCTGTCTCTCTTCCCACAAATAACATCTATGAAAATCATTTTTCTCCTAATCCAGGAATGAATGATAAGTATCTCAGAGAATTGTTTTGATGATTGAATGGTATAACAAATGAAAGCACTCTGTACCCTGTGAAAGCATCACATAAAATGAACTTCTTGGGAGCCGGGGAGAAGATAGGTATTTATCTCCACGGACTCAAGCCCACATTTCCCCCTGAGAAGACAAAGAAAGAAAGAAAATCCTTTCTTCAAATATTCGAATCTGTCTCTAGGCTTTACTGACTTTGAAAAGGACAAGGTATCCTCACTTTTCTGACAGCCTTTCTCACAGTCTGCAGACCTAATTCCAACCACGCCACTAAAAGTTCTGTTAGGCAGTCTTAAAAAACCTTTTCCCCTATCTATGCACACTTATCTACTAAATAAGTAAGAACATTACCTGCCCTGCCTGTTTGAGCATACTGGAAAGCATCCCAGTTACTGAGACGAAAGGCCCTTAGAATGACAAGGCTCCAAATAAATACCTGCCACCATGCACCACAATTTAAGATTCTAGATTCCGCTGTTTTGTGCACTCGTTTCAAGGCGTCTCTGCCTGATCTCGTGCTTAGTTTTTGATGAAACTTAAGGTAGGAAAGATACTACCTCATGTTACTGAAAATAAGGAGCTCAGGAAGTCTAAACCAAGGAGACAGGGCTACCGGAACCGATGTTCCTAATGCCTGGCTCACTTATAAGGGAAAAGCTAGGTACTTTTTTTTTTTAAGCAAATAACTGAGAAGTGCGGGGTCTGAGCGGGTGGAGGAGGGGGCGAGCCAAGAAGCCGAACCTATTCTAGGCGATGGGAGGCGGGGGAGTGGCGGAGGCATCTCGGCTCCGAGAAGCGAGTTTAGCCGGTTACTTCGCCGAGGGTCGGGATACAAGATCGGATGCTGGGAAATAAGAAGTCGGGCCCCTCCAACCTCTGCATCGGAGTCAGCTGGCTTCCACCTGCCAGAGTGGACTGAGGGTCCCGGGGGCCTGACCGGCTAACCTGTCGCATCCCGCATAGAGGCGGGACCCCGAGGTGTCCTGGCAGCTCCTTCCATCCCCAGATCCGGGTGCCCCTAGCAGCATGTTATCTAGGAGCACCCCGTGGTCGGAACCTTCGCCCCCGGCGCTCGGGATCAGCCCTGGACCAGAGCCACGCTAGCTACGAAATGTGGGTGTGTGGAGTCCGGGAGGGCCTAAAGGGTCTACAAGGCCGGGGTGGGAGTCGGGGAGGAGAAATAAAGACCCGGTGGGGGAGGGGCGCAAACAACCTTCGCGGCCATTTTGTCCTCGCTCCACTTCCGTCTTCTCTCCGGGGCAGCCGGGGCCGGACCCCTCCCTGCAGGCCCTGCGCTCTTCTTCTCCAGGTTCCGCATGAGCCGGATCTCGGCTCGCGCTGCCGCCATTGGCGGGTTCCACGTTGGCCCGCCCCCTTCCTCCCGCTCCTTCCGTCCCCTCCCGCCCGCGCTTTCTAGGAGCGCTTGCGCAGAGGCGGGCTCTCCCTTCCCCCCTCCCGGGTTGACTGAGGACTCCCGCGCGCGGGCTCCGTCGGCCCCACCCTCCCTTTCCCCGGGGCCGTTCGGAGAGCGGGGGCGACAATGAAAGTTCCAGAACGCTGCGGTGAGTGCGTCATCGCGAGGCGGGGCGGACTGGGGCGGGAGGGAGAGGCCCCGTGAGGTAGAGCCAGGTTCGTCATTGGGGCTTGTGGAGGTGGCCCCGCGCCCATTGGCCGGGACGCCATGATGGGCAGCCGGCTGGGGCGGGCCCCTTCTGGAAGGTTCTGAAGCAGGGTATAAGAGACAGGGCGGCGGGCGGAAACCGGTCTCATTGAACGCGGCGGAACCTCCGTAGATTGCTGTCTTTTTCCTCCAGCAGCGCCGTGCCTACATATCAGGTGAGGCCTCCTTCCTTACAGCCCCCGGAGGCTTCTCGGAGCATGCACCCCTGTGCAGTGCAGGCTGCGGGGGGGTGCTGCGGCCGGACCTCTCTGAGCGTCTCGGGCAGGCTGGGTGTGGCGAGCTTTCTGCCCGGCGGGGTGTCTTTGTTCCCGAGGGGAGGCAATGGCCCCGATCTGCGGACAGGAGGGAGGAACGGGGCGCGGAGGGCTGGGCGGTGACCGTGATTGCGAGCGAGCGGACGGGGGCTGGGGCCGCACCCGCTTGCGGGGCGTGGGGCCAGCGCCTTAGAGACGGCCACTTCCTGTCTTCGTAGATCAGTGTTTCTTAAAAGACGAAGTTTTGCATGCGCCCGAATTGGGGAGGGGGCTTCTGAGTGCTCACAGGGAGTGCTGTGTTGATCACAGTTGCAGGGAGGGGACCACGTGCTCTGCTATGGCGCAGACCCTTTTGGCAGGTGCCTTGTTGGGTCTGCGGCGGGCTCTGCGGTTGGCACGGCAACCTCGACTGCAGCATTTCCTGCCTGTTCTGGCCCTCCCACGTGGTTACTGCCGGCTAGGGCAGTGCTTCTAGGGCGAGGTGCTGAGTATCATTTTTGACCGAGCGGTCATACCCGATAGTGTTGATTTGGTAAATCTTCCCAAGGCCTTAATCGGCTTTTTGAACAACGGGCTTTTCTCTCTCTTTCTCAGCAACAATGTCGAAGGGACCTGCAGTTGGCATTGATCTTGGCACCACCTATTCCTGTGTGGGTGTTTTCCAGCACGGGAAAGTGGAGATAATTGCCAATGATCAGGGAAACCGAACCACCCCAAGCTATGTTGCTTTCACCGATACCGAACGGTTGATCGGTGATGCTGCAAAGAACCAAGTTGCGATGAACCCCACCAACACGGTTTTTGGTAAGCCACTTAATTTTTAATCAGAGTATGGAATTTGTTATTTAGGCAGCCTGTAATTTTAAACTTTGAAAAACTTGTCTTAAAAGTTTGTTAAACGTGAGGTGGCTGTGAAATCCTTGAATAGGAAAAGCTTTGAGGAAACGATGTTGATTTTAAGGCTGGGAGATTTGTGATAATTTGGGTATTCAGAAGTTGAATGAATCCACTTACTGTGAGTTAGGGTCTAAAGGCGTTTGGTCTTGGAAAGGTGGGCTAGGTTCTTAATGGATGAAGTGTAACGGAATTCAAGGTGTAATGATGGTATCTAATGTTTTTTAAAGATGCCAAACGCCTCATTGGGCGAAGATTTGATGATGCTGTTGTCCAATCTGATATGAAACATTGGCCCTTCATGGTGGTGAATGACGCAGGCAGGCCCAAAGTCCAAGTAGAATACAAGGGAGAGACAAAAAGCTTCTATCCAGAGGAGGTGTCATCCATGGTTTTGACAAAGATGAAGGAAATTGCAGAAGCCTACCTTGGGAAGGTGAGCACTTCCACAGTACTGCAGGGAGAGGAGGCAGGCAGAGTGTGCAGTTAGGTACCAGGTTTCTTGATATGTGGGGTTTGGCTGACCTAAGAATAAATAGCTAAGATGATCAAGGGTGATTAAAAACCACAATGTCTTTGAGTCTGTATCTTTGTGTGCTTAAGTAGATACTATTGTGGGACTGATGAAATTTCTAATGGCAGTGAGGTTTTCAATTTGTTTTCTTTTCCCTAGACTGTTACCAATGCTGTGGTCACAGTACCCGCGTACTTCAATGACTCTCAGCGTCAGGCGACCAAAGATGCTGGAACTATTGCTGGTCTCAATGTACTTAGAATCATCAATGAGCCAACTGCTGCTGCTATTGCGTATGGCTTAGACAAAAAGGTAGGTACTATTTTTGATGTATGTGAGGCCAGATGGGTTGAAATTAGAAATAGGTAAGAGTAAATTTGTGTTTCAATTGCAGGTTGGAGCTGAAAGAAATGTGCTGATCTTTGACTTGGGTGGTGGCACTTTTGATGTGTCAATCCTCACTATTGAGGATGGAATCTTTGAGGTCAAGTCTACTGCCGGAGATACCCACTTAGGTGGAGAGGACTTTGACAACCGAATGGTCAACCATTTTATTGCAGAGTTCAAGCGGAAGCACAAGAAGGACATCAGCGAGAACAAGAGGGCTGTCCGTCGCCTCCGCACTGCTTGTGAGCGTGCTAAGCGCACTCTCTCTTCCAGCACCCAGGCCAGTATTGAGATTGATTCCCTCTACGAAGGAATCGACTTCTATACCTCCATTACCCGTGCCCGATTTGAGGAATTAAATGCTGACCTTTTCCGTGGCACCCTGGACCCTGTGGAGAAAGCCCTTCGGGATGCGAAACTGGACAAGTCTCAGATCCATGACATCGTCCTGGTGGGAGGCTCAACCCGTATCCCCAAGATTCAGAAACTTCTGCAGGACTTCTTCAACGGGAAAGAACTGAATAAGAGCATCAACCCTGATGAGGCTGTTGCTTATGGTGCAGGTAATTCCTCAACCCTAGTTTAAGTCAGGAGGCCTGAGCTCATTCGCTATGATGAATGATTTTTAAACATTCGTAGTTTCCACCAAAAGCTAAGCTAATGATGGCACAACTTCCTTGGATGTCTGAGCGATTCAGGGTTGCTAATTTTACATAATGAGTTTTGTACTATTTTTTTAAACACTATTTTCTTTTAATGTAGCTGTCCAGGCAGCCATTTTATCTGGAGACAAATCTGAAAATGTTCAAGACTTGCTGCTATTGGATGTCACTCCTCTTTCCCTTGGAATCGAAACTGCTGGTGGAGTCATGACTGTCCTCATCAAGCGCAATACCACCATCCCCACTAAGCAGACGCAGACCTTCACCACCTACTCCGACAACCAGCCTGGTGTGCTCATTCAGGTATGTTTCTGTACTGGTTTGGCCTGGCCTACTGGGGTCCTATAAAGCTGGAGAAGACGTGTTCCGCTGTGATGACTGATTCCAAAACCATTCGTAGTTTCCACCAGAAATCTCATGTTGGTCAGTTCCTTCCTTGGATGTCTGAGCGATCAGTCTTGTTCTAACCAAGCTTATGCAAATCTAAGCTAGCAGGGTAACCTTTCTGATTTGTCAGTAATTTCTGTTTCCTATCAAGGTTTATGAAGGTGAGCGTGCCATGACCAAGGATAACAACCTGCTTGGCAAGTTTGAACTCACAGGCATTCCTCCTGCCCCCCGTGGCGTTCCTCAGATTGAAGTCACTTTTGATATTGATGCCAATGGCATCCTTAATGTGTCTGCTGTGGATAAGAGCACAGGGAAGGAGAACAAGATTACCATCACAAACGACAAGGGTAAGTTACTATTTTGAGTGTGGCACTGCTGTCTGGTC